CCCGCTCCTCTCTGTCGAGGGATGCTACTAGCAGATCAGCATTAGCATCCCCAGCCTCCTCATCCTTCTCCATGCCAGCCCCGCTCCTCTCTGCCGAGAGATGCTACTAGCAGATCAGCACTAGCATCCTCAGCCTCCTCATTCTTCTCGCTGCTGCTATGCTCTCGCTCATACAGCGGAACAGGCGCGTATAGGCGGGGCAGAAAAACCGCAAATGCTGCTGCTGTTGGTGCTGCTGCTTCTGTTAATCCAAAAGCGCTCAATCAAGCATGCACGCCCCGTTACCTCTAGTTATACATACACATACCCCCAATTAACGCTATCTTTGTTTCTCGATCGCGCGCTCTCTCTCTCTCTCACTCTCTTTCTCTCCCTCTCTCTGTCTTTCCTGCGCTCTCTTTCTCTCCCTCCCCATTCTTGCTTTCTTACACACTCTTTATCCCTTACCCTTTCATTTTCGCTACCTTCTCTCTCAGCTTCACCTTTCGCACGTAGCACGTAACTACGCGCATGCGCAGCGGGGACGTCGCGTCTGCGCATGCGCGGCAGGCATCGGCGGCATCATCAAACGAGGGATGACATCATCAGAAGCNTTGAGCAGCGAGCAGGAGGAGGAGGAGGGCGAGGGAGGAAGGCAGGCGGAAGGAGGAGGCCGGCTTAGAGGAACCACAAGGCGGGGAAGGAGGAGGTAGTGATGAGGAGGAGGTGAGGGTAGGAGGAGGAAGATGCCATATATTATATGCGCGTGACTGCTTGTGATAAATGAGTGGTGAATGATGAATGGTCGCTAGTATGATGACGGGCGACTGAACGATAATGACAACTGACGAACGATGAGGATGACAGATGAATGATGGGTTTAAATATGATGATGAGGGATGAGATGATAGGATGAATGATGATAATTATGATATCTGCCTGATCTTCTCCGCTGGCTGCCTTTGCCTGCCTGTCCGATCTGTCGTCTCTCTGTCACTGCCTGCCATGCCTGCCTGCACTGGTCTATCCTTACTGTACCGTCTTACTCTGAGTCTGGCACTGGCCTGCAATGGCCCATGCGTGCCTGTCCGACACTAGCTCCGTCTCTCTGTCTGCGTCTGCCTGCCTGCCTTGTCCGTCTGTTCGCGTTTCTCTTCTGTCCTGCGCTGGCCCTGCCAATGCCTGTCTAATACCTTACTAGTCCGTCATTTACTGTATAGATAAGCCTGCATGCCTGCCTGCCTGCCGCCTGCCGCTGTCTCTGACTACTCTACTGTCTGCCTAGCTCTAGCGCTAGCATGCCTGTCTGTATGTTAGGGTCTCTCTCTCTCTGCCTGCTATGCACTGGCCTAACCCTGCCTGCCTCGTCCAGTCTGTACCGTCTCTCTGTCTGCCTGCCTGCCTGCTAGCCTGTCTATCCTTCTGTCCGTCCTTTCTGTCTGCCTGCCTGCAGTGCCTGCCTGCCTGTCCGGCCTGGCCCGTCTCTCATGTCTGCCTGCCTGCTGCATGCCTGGGGTTATTTTCCCCCCCCCTGTATGGTTCTTTACTCTCTCTCATCTCTGCTGCCCATGCCTGCCGTGCTGCTTGTCGGGCGTCTGCTCCGTCCTCCTCTGTCCTGCCCTGCCTGCTGCCTGCCTGTCTTCTGGTCCGTCCTTTCTTTCTGTCTGGCCTGGCCGTGCCTGCCTGCCTGCCTGCGCTGACTGCCCTGCTTGCCTGCCCTGCCTGTCCGTCTGCCAGTCTCCTCTCTGTCTTTGTCATGCCTGCCTGCCTGCCCTGTCGGCTGCTGTCCTGGTCTTTCTACGTCTGTCAGTGCTGCCGTGCGCTGCCTGCCTGCATTGCTTGCTGCTGTCTGCCTCTGCCTGGCCTGTTCCGTCTGCCAGTCTCTGTCTGTTCTGCCTGCCTGCCTTTGCCTGTGCGCTTCTGTCCGTCTTTCTGCCTTGCTGCCTGCCTGCCTGCTGGCCTACCTTCCTGTCTGCCTGCCTGCTGTCCGTCTGGCCAGTCTCTCTCTGTCTGTCTGCGTGCCCTGCCCGCTGCCTGTCCTTCTGATCCGGGGTGCTTTCAATGCGCTGTTCTGTGCCGGGGTCCTGCTCGCTCGTGGCCATGCGTAAGCTTGCCTGCACTAAATCCGTGCCCTAGGACCTTGCCTTGTGTTTGAGCGCTTGGATTTCCTCGCTCCTCGTGCTCGTGTCTGTTCTGCGTTGTAGCGTTGCGCTTACTGTTACTCTCGGCGCCTGCCTGTTCTACCACATGGCCGTTGCGGACTTTTCCTATCTGGGATGCGTTCTTAGCCCATACCTCTCTGGCTGGCTGGAGTCTCTTACTGCCTACTTAGCCTGCCGCGTCGACCTGTCAAGCGACGCAGTGGTTTGTCTGTCGGAGTGTCTGCGCACGTGCCCACTCGAGCCCTTCCTTCGTTATTTTGTCTCGAGCCTGATCACGAGTCTCGTGTCCGCCGATCCTATTTGTCCTGAGAGAACTTTGCGGGGTTCCTGGCTGAGAAAACTTGCGGTGGCTGAGTGTCCTGAGTTATCTGCACGAACATTACTGCACTCACTTGACCGGTGATACGCTAATCGAATTACTTTGCACGTCAGTCTCTCATCATGTCTCGTCATGTGCTGCCTGCCTGTGCGCGTGTACAGATTTAACCTGTACCCCGGGGACTCTCTCTGTCTGCATGACTCGAGCTCGCACAATGACTACCTGCCCCGTTTTTCTGTACCCGTGGTGTGGTGCTACCTTCGTCTGTCACTTTGTCGACTGATCAGTCCGTCTTGGCTCGCGCGTGTTCTCGTCGTGTGAGTCTGCCCCGTGAGAGACTACATCTTGCATGCCTGGATTCACTCGTAACTATTCGTATCCAACGATGGCTAACCGCGGCTCTCTCTTACTGTCTGCCTGACATACCTTACGCGGTCGGCGATCATGTGGTCGGCATCAATTTACCGAGAAGCCCGTCTGTACTGCGCTGCACTGCCCTGCATGACCTCGTCGCGTAACGTCCGTCTATCTCTGTACTGCCTGGAACTTGCCTGTCGCCTTGTCGGCGCTCTCTCTCGCTCTCTTCTCTCATATCTGCTGCCTGATGCCTGCTGCCTGGCTGTCCGGTCTGTCTGTCTCTCTGATACTGTCTGCCTGCCCTGGCGCTCCCTGTCCGTCTGTTCCGATCTCGTCTGCTCTGCCTGCTAGCTGCGCTGCCTGTCTGTCTCTCTGGTTCATAGTTCTTTTTGCTCAGGCCAGTAATTCTCCTCGCAATGAGAGACAATTTCTCTTTGCACTAGCTCATCTGCCAAGCTCGATGACTGTCTCTTGCCAAATCCACTGCCACCATGCTTGATCTCTTGTATCGCTGCCTGCCCGTTTGAGTCTGGCTCATAAAGCTATCTTTTAATTTTGGGAACCTCAGACTGTTCGTGGTCGGAACTCCCCTGCCACTCATGCTCTGTGTGGGGCACCGGTATATCTGCATCCACTCCCATAATATCTGTTTCTGAGGGCTCATGCAGATGCGTGGCATCTGCTGTAACTCCTCGTTTGCAAGCAGTCTTTCTAAGCCCTGCCTGGATATATGCCTAATAGTCCCAATCCCCTGCCGCGTTGTCCGTTGTTCTGATAACTCATAGTCGCTTGTCCGTTAGTCGCGTCTCTGGTGAGACCTGTGGATCTGCATATCCTGCGCTTGCAAGTGCCTGCCGTCTGTCTGGCCTGCCTGCTTGTCTCGTCTGTCTGTCTCTATGCTCTGGCTGCCTTCCTGCCTTGCACGGAACTGGCTGCGTTCATGCCCACAGCTACCGTCGCTATTAAGGGTCAGCTCGCACCACTGATTCAGGACGAGCAAGGTTCACGGGCTAAATATTGAGACTATCCCGTCGATTCTCGGCTCACATACTAATTCACCGTCTGGTGACTCTTAGGCAACGGTCTAGTCTATCAAGTGCTATGCTGATTCAAGCGTGAGTTAACACGGTTGTTGCAATGAAGTGATTTTCCTGTGATCGAGGTAGAGTCAATACAAAGCACCGTGAGTCTGGATCGATCGTTATGCGTCCGCTCATCAGCTACTCGCCTGTCCTGGTGGTCGTCAGATGACGCACAACCTCTATAATTATACTTTCATTGCATGGCCTTGTTCTCCCTCTCGCATTCGCTATCTCATCTCTCGCATCCGCGGTCGCATCTCTGCTCACCTCGATGTCCCACAGATGCATGATCATCTCTCTGCGTCGAGATGGGACTTACCGTCTACTCTCTCTCTCTCTCTCTCTAATCTTCCCCCTGCTCTTTGTTATACTGTCTCCGACTCATCGCTGCGATCCGTACAGCAATGTTCGCCTGCTTCTCCAGCTTGGCGCCATATCATGTTTCGCAAGCTCCTTGTCTGCGTCCTTTCACCGTCCCGGTACTATAATGGATGAATCTTTGTACTGGGCGAGGCTCGGGGAAACAGCTTAGCGCTGCAGCATTGTCACATGCACTTTCCATGCACTTATCTTAACTCTTCGTCACTTGGCTATCGCACCGGTGCTGACGGCCCATAGGCCTTTCTCGTGGGCTGCCACCGCTCGGCACCGTGTTACTTGTCCTTAGGCCGAGGAACACGCTCGCCATAGCTGTCGTGTTCTTCTCTTCTCCCCTAACTGTTCTTCATCCTGGAGGCCTCATACTTCCTCGTGGTTCGTTTTGCGTCCCTTGCTCATCCCGCTTCTCGTGGTCAGATGACTATCGTGCGAAGTTCGTCTATGCAGCCATCTCGTGCTTATGAATCTAGGACGCGGTGAGACTTTGCATTATATCCTCGTCCCTCATTAGGGATGCCAGCGCTCATGTGTGAGCTAGGGCGGTAACGGCTCTCTGATCACTCAGTCAAGCCATCATATACACTTCGCAGGCTCTCCTGCATGTGCGGTCTGTGAGTCATTCGCAGCCCATTGATATCAATCGGCCCTCCTCTGATCACCACGGAGGCCATCATTCATAGGCACCGCTTGGATCAGCATCTCCTCATTCATTGGCAACACCTGCTTGACTATACTTGCGCTCGAACTCTACATCTAACACTAGGCAGATTATCGAGATCAAGCACAAGCAGTCCCACCATTCATGCTCATCATTCATTGTGGGGCAACGCCTTGCGTTAGATCACTTCGCTAGGAGGCGTGAAGAATTCCACTTTTGCAGTCTACATAGAAAAGTGCGCACCTTACTACATCTCATCATGCATACAATACCATCGATGCGATACTATCCGAATGCACCAATGGCCAGCTCGAGTAAGAGATTGAGATCACTCAGATATTGCTGAGATACGCACCTGTCTAATTTCAATGGCCAGTCTAAGTGAGTCTCTTGAGCATGTCAACACAGAGACATATCCACTCTATATACATTCATATCACGCTAAAGATTATGCCATAACGTGCTCTTGAATGCTATCTAGTGGCACGTTCTGCGCCCAGTGCAATTCCATGAGACAAGTGGACCTATAGACTCCACGGTGGTGAAACAGTTTGCTCAGTAACATCTCAACGCTAAAGGGCCGGACCACACTAGCGATTTAAATCGGTGACTTTTTGTATGCCCGAATTCATCGAGCGAGTCGAGTGGACACATCACGCGATTTTTGACCAGCGGAGTTCTTACTTCTTTATGTACGCTCTTGAGATATTATATGATCAGCTACACAATTACATTATCACACACTCAAGTGGCGATCTAACGAAGTCACTGTGAGATCTCACGCAGCATTCATACGTCAATAAGTGCAGCGTTGAGTGTGATTGATATCACATGGCTCACATGGCTCACATCATAAACTGATTTTTCCCAGTGTGTGACCTAGTCAACATTCACTTGTAATCAGCAAATCGCATATATAGCATGTCATTTCTAAAATACATAAGCATATCGACAGTTGTTACTCGGACGATTGATGCAACAGCTCTCATCGCAATTCATGATTTGGTACGCAGTTGAATCGAGCTGACACATCAACTCCACACAATCATGTCATGCCATCCCCAAACGACTTAGATGTATCACGCGAGACCATCCGATCTCCGAGTAAGCACCTCGATAAACTGTGAGATCACGCAGCCATCATTCATGGCACCAAGCAGATTGATCCACCACAGACCACAGTCCTTACAAATATATTCATGGACACCGACTTGAATTCACGCGTCCCATCATTCATAGCAGCCGAACGCATAGATGGCTTGTACTGAAGGCGCAATACTTGTATTTTGTACCTAGACGCACATCGATCTATACTTTACAGTGACGACGTGAGGCCTACAGAAACTTGATCGAACAGTTATTCAGCCACCATTGTCTAAATTCAATGTGCACCACACGTTTTATGAATCACTTAGCCAGCGCCATGATTTCATGCAGCCGACTTTCGCGCGCCGCGATTGATCCACACAGCACCATTTATGGCATAATCACTTGATCACATCGCGCATAAACCATTCATGGCATCCTCACACGGTTGAACCTCCACTTGCAGCCTCACTCCGTTCCTGATCTCACTTGGAGCACAAGGACCAGGGACACATAATGTAGTCACGACACAGAGGGCGCGGAGTGAGTTCAATGCAGCCCTTCGCGATCTGACTCACTCACAACAGCGCAAGTGCCACACTCTCGGAGTTCCATACTGGCAGCTGGTCGTTAGGGACCGACGTTTCATCACGACGTAGATTGCAGCATCATTCATGGCACTCCTTTGATCACGCCTGTCCAAACTAGTAATCTCGATTCACTCGATCTATTTTGTCTTAATTCGTGTCAGTATCATTGACAATCTCGAGTATGTAGGTCTAGCATACAATTCAAGCTCACATTCATATCGGGGCACCACTCTGAATCACGCATGCCATCATTGCTAATTAGCATACACGCTTTTAATCGCCAGACTGGACGAATATAGACGCTAAACAGGCGATTTGAATTGCTAGCCGATCAAAACGTTTTTGAATGATTATCAAGGGGCCAGCCACCATGCTGCATAGGCACGCCTCACTGTGATTTCCACGGATCAGCCCATGCACTTCATGGACGAGGATTAGATTCATGCAGATGTTAATCTTCAGGCAAACCCATCTTGGTATCAAATCTTGCTTAGGGATCCATCGCAATTGCCATGATTGGGACAAATCGCCGGAGTGACTACCAAACTACTCTGATCACGGCAGTACCATCAATCGGATAAAAGATCGCCGCGATTGATCACACAGCCGACGTGCAATTCGATACGGTACCGGAATCATTGACATCAATGCAGTGGTCAATCATGTTCCTGAGTGTGCTCATCACGCTTGATACCCGGGCGAAGCGATGTCGACAATCTTCTATCGCGACCCACTTGATCACGCATCCATCAGTTCATGGCACCAGATTGATTCACAGCACAGAGATTAAATTTGCAGCCAACATTCATGGGCACCCTTCTTGATCATGGCCCGTTCTTATTTCGATTTCATGGCAGCGGCTTGATGCACGGCAGCCATCATTCCATGCACCTAACTTGATCACGCATCATATTCATACGGACCGCTTGATCACGAACAGCCACCAATTCATAGACCTCTGATCATTCAGCCATCATTCATGGCAGCAGCTTGATCAATGCAAGGCCATAATTTATGGCAATCCGCTTGAATCACGCAGGCCATCATTCATGCACCGCTTGATTACTTAGGGCCACCATGTCATCGGCACCACTTGAATCACGCAGCCATTATTATATGGCAACACTTGATCACTGTATGGAGAGTGCGAGTGGTGCGGACTGGCACCAGGCTTGATCATCGACAGGCCACCATATTAATGGCACCACTTGATCACAGAAACACGCCTCCATTGCATGGCACAACTTGATCATCTCAGCCATCATTCATGGCAGCCGGCTTGATCACGGCAAGCCATCATTCCATGGCCAGCCCTGGCTTGATCAATGCATCCGCATGCATTCATGGCACAACTTCATCATGTTCATCCATTGACCCTCATGATCTCATCATCATCATCATCATCATCATCGTCATCATCATCGTCATCACCGCCATCACCAGGCAGACACGGGAATACACGATGAAGCGCGCACGCAAACATGTACACGTCCCGCGACGATTCCGTCTCTAATTTGAGTCCCTCTCTATGTATATGTGCGTGTGTAGTGCGCGCGCACACACACACACGCACGCACGCACGCACGCACGTACGCACGCACGCACGCACACACACATACACACACATCACCTAGTATCTTGACTTGTCTACGCGTGTCTCTCCGTGATATCCTACTGCACACAACACTATACTACTGCGCTATATACACACACACGCACGCACGTCCTGCGCCGAACCCCAGCGTCCATGTTGTGCTGCTGCTGCTACTAGTACTGCCGTCTCTCTCTTTCTCGCTCTCTTTCTCTCTCGCTCGCTCGCCGCGCACTGCCGCGCAGGCTACTGCTCCCAGTGAGCGCGCGTGTGTGTATATATAGTAAGCAGTAGTAGCTGCTGCTGCATTACACGCACGCACGCACGCACGCACGCACGCACGCACGCACGCACGCACGCACGCACGCACGAGCGGCGCGCGCATGCAGGCACGGGGTTATTTCGGGTAGTGTGATGCGGTATTTATGGTCCAAGGAGGTTGGGTCAAGTCTATGACTCCCCCGCATGGCGATGGAGGGCCCGTAGCTCCTCCTTCCTCCCCTCTCCCTCCTCCTTCTGCTTCTCTTCCTCCTCCTCCTCCTTCTTCTGCTTCTCCTCCTCCTAGTTATTTTTCTCCTCCCCCTCCTCCTGCTACTTCTCCTCTCCCGCCTACTGCTCCTCCCCCTCCTCTTCCTCCCCCTCCTTCTCCTCCCACTCATCCCAGTCCTCTTTCTTTATTCCTACTCCTCCTACTCTCCATCTTCCTCCCCCTCTTTCTCCTCCCCCTCCTTCTATCCCCCCTCCTCCCCTCCTCCTCCTCCTCCTCTCACTTCTTCCTCCTCCATCCTGTCTCTCTCTGTCCTCCTCTCGTCCTCCTCCTCTCCCCCTCTCCTCCTCCTCCACCACCACATCCTCCTCCACCACCACCACCTCCTCCTCCTCCTCCTCCATCATGACACACTCGTCACATACACACACGTACACCGTCCGTCACGAGAACACAGACGCGGAGAAGAGGCTGCGTGCTCACGGATGAGGAGGCTAGGCGGAGAAGCCCCGCTCCTCTCTGCCGAGAGATGCTACTAGCAGATTAGTACTAGCATCATCAGCCTCCTCATCCTTCTCCATGCCAGCCCCGCTCCTCTCTGCCGAGAGATGCTACTAGCAGATCAGTACTAGCATCATCAGCCTCCTCAGCCTCCTCCATGCCAGCCCCGCTCCTCTCTGTCGAGGGATGCTACTAGCAGATCAGTACTAGCATCATCAGCCTCCTCATCCTTCTCCATGCCAGCCCCGCTCCTCTCTGCCGAGAGATGCTACTAGCAGATCAGTACTAGCATCATCAGCCTCCTCAGCCTCCTCCATGCCAGCCCCGCTCCTCTCTGTCGAGGGATGCTACTAGCAGATCAGCATTAGCATCCCCAGCCTCCTCATCCTTCTCCATGCCAGCCCCGCTCCTCTCTGCCGAGAGATGCTACTAGGAGATCAGTACTAGCATCCCCAGCCTCCTCATCCTTCTCCATGCCA